CAGCGCCCGGCTATTTTTTGGTTGCAGCCGTCGTTGTTTGGCGGGCCTGGGCTGGATTCGAACCTGCCACCTTAGGTGTATGTGGCTGGCGCCTTAGCTGTTTGAGCCACAGGCGCTGAGCCAACCTCAAACTCTTGAGCTTAAGCGATTATTCTCTTGCCTCATCCTCCTAAGTAGCTGAGACTACAGGCACCCACTACAATGCCCGGCTATTTTTTTGTTGTTGTTGTAGTTGTCATTGCTGTTTAGCTGGCCCAGGCCAGGTTCAAACCCGCAACCGTTGGTGCATGTGGCCAGTGCCACCCCGAGATTTCCTCTCTAATTTTAGTACTTTGAGTCTTCTTTTGTCTTTTCTTAGTATAGCTAAAAATTTGCCAATTTTAGGCTCAGCATCTGTAGCTCAGTGATTAGGGCACCAGCCACATACTCTGGTGCTGGCGGATTTGAACCTGGCCCAGGCCAGCTAAACACCAATGACAACAATAAAGAAAAAATATCCAGGGGTTGTGGTGGGCACCTGTTTTCCCAGCTACTTGGGAAGCTGAGGAAAGAGAGTCACTTAAGCCCAAGAGTTTGAAGTTGCTGTGAGCTATGATGCCACAGTCCTCTACTGAGTGCAACATAGTGAGACTCCACCTCAAAAAAATTTTTTTGCCAATTTTAGGAGAGGACTGAAACAATGTAAAAAGAAAATGTATCCATGACAAGCTAGGATTAAAGACGCAGATACCATCAATTTTATATAGAAGTTGCACAGTCTCAACATTGGACTCAGGAGCTTGCTGAGGTTTATGTCTTATTGGGAAATGACAAATACATTAATTTCACAAGGAGGGATAAAAAATATAAATAGTGGACAAATACTTTAATGGGTCGATATCATTGGACTTTTCAATGCACCAACTTTCAGGTTCAGCGCCTGTAGGTCAGTGGTTAGGGTGCTGGCTACATACACTGGGGCTGGCAGGTTCAAATCCAGCCCTGGCCTGCCAAACAATAATGACAACTACAACAAAAAACAATAGCCAGGCATTGTGGCAGGCACCTGTAGTCCCAGCTACTTGGGAGGC